CTACCTCCTCCTCGTCGTCATCATCATCATCATCATCATCATCATCATCATCATCATCATCACTTTCCTCGTAAGCCCCCCGCTTCACCCAACTCCTGTCTTAGCCTGCACCAACCCCTCCTCCCCTGCCAGCTTTCCTGTCACTCTCTCCCCTCGCTTCGACTGCATGGCACTGATTTTCACGTTCAGATTTTGGGGGCTATCGCTGTCGTCCATGTCTGGAGTGCCGCAGGGCATGAAAGTTCTCACTGAAGAAGAAACTGAAAACTCCCTCAAGGTCAAATATAAGATCCCGACTCCTCACCTCTCCTCTGCTCCCCTCTGCTCCCCTCTCCTCGTTTCTCCTCCTGTCCTTTCATTGCTAAAATGTGCATGGTTAACAGGAGGCAGTAGTTGCTCCGTCTGTTGCTCCCCCTCCTTCCCCCTCCGTCGCCCTCCATCGCTCGAGCTCAGAAAATTTTGGCGAAGCCTGGGGATCATCCGCGCCGCCGCCTCCGACTATCCACAGATCTGTGTCAGAGCCCGTGTTCAACGAGGTTCTCCCTCCTTATCCTCCTCCCTCTCTCCCGCTCTCGCTCTCGTTTCCTCTCCCCTCTCCTCCTCCCTTCTTCCTCTCTATCCCCTTTCTCTTCCCCTGTACCTCCATGTTCCCTTTCCTGTTCTTGCTTACTCTCTCCCTTCCTCCCTTGTCCCGTTTCAAGGCTTCCGCTACCCCCCACCCCCCCCGCATCCTCTGCTACTCCTGGGCATCATCCTCACGTGGTCTCCAGGAGCCGCGAGCGAAGGAGAAGCCGCAGGAAGTCAAGCGAGAGAAGCCGGCGAGGCCCGAGTTCGAGGGCACGTGGGCAGGTAGGCAGGGCCCTGGCCTCTTAGCGCATCTGACGGTCTGGCATGACAGACGAGTCGGACGATGACGGTCATTTTCTCGCAAAGCTCCCGGAGCTGCCGGAGATCAGCAAGCGAGAGGCTTCTGCTGAGGACGAGCAAAGGATGGGAGGGGAGCAGGCAAGCAGGACAAGCCAACAGGACAGGGGAGAAGCAGCAGATGAGGCGGACGAGGGCAGGCAAGGCAATCGAGATCGCAGGAGGAGAGACACACGCAAGGTGAGGAAGGAAGACGAGGAGAAGGAGGAGGAGGAGGAGGAGGAAAAGAAACGAGACAGAAACGGTGGATGCAGAACTTGAGTTGTGATGTTTGCCTGGCAGAGGAACGACGAGCAGCCAATGCGCGAGAGGAACGATTTTCAACCCAACGAGTCTCGCGGTTCGCATGCTCCTGGCCAGTGCCCTCCATGACGTGGCGTGCAGGAAGGGGAGGAGCAGACCGCGCGAGACGTCCACCACCAGCGAGGAGAGAGCAGAGCGACTACTCGAGCAAAGAGTCCGAGACAAGACCGATGCACACGGGAGGATCGTGGCAGGCGATGAGAGCAGCGGGAAGGTTCACGTCTCCAATTCCCACTCTGTCTCCTTCCCATTCCTACTTCCCTCCCCTTCATGCTTCCCTTCCTCTTCTCCACTTCTCTTGCTCCCTCCCCTGTCGCCCTCCTCCTTCCGTCCTATTCCTCGTTCCTCACCTTCTCCGCTCATCCCCTTGTCAGGTACATCCCCCCTGCCAGGCAGAACTACTACGAGGACCCTCGAGTCGCATCGCATGCAGAGAGGAACGGGCAGGACGGAAACGGGCTGAGGGTCACGGCGACCTCAGACGGCAGCAGACGCGTCATCTCCTCTCAAGCTAACCAGGGGAGGCAGAACCGCACGAGAGGTAAAGATCCGCCCTTTCCTCCCCTCCCGCCTTGACTCCTATCCCCGAGTTCTTATTTTCCCCGTCGCCAACCTCCTCTCCCTCACCTTCCCCGTCTCCTCCCTCTCGCTCTCCTCTTCCTCCATCTCTCCTCTCCTGATCTCTTGCTTACTCACTCGCGCCTGCCAGACGACGAAGGATTTACCGTGCGAGTCGACGAGAACGGAAGCCGGAGGGTCGGGGGAAGAGGCCGAGGGCGGGGGCGGGGGCGCCAGAGTTATGGAGGAGGAAATTTTAGAGGGGAGGGAGAGGAGAGAGAATGACAACAGTCTGAGCCTAGACAGGAGAATAAACAACTTTCACAAGAATAATCTCTGCTGTACAACGAATATCGAAACAATGACGACGACGATGACGACGACGTCAACAATCCCAACATGTCTGACTCACCAAGTTGGCTCCGGCCGGAGCATCTCACAGCTAATATACAACGAGGTCGCCCCCCTCTACCATTGAGCTACCTCGTACTCCTTCTATCTTCTCCCTCTTGTTTGCTGTTGTGAGCCCTATCCTCCCTCCCTACCGCTTGTACCGCCCGGACGCAAGAATCTGCCATGGAGGGTGAGCGACTTGGCTGTCAACCCTCTACCTCCTACCATGGATGCGAAGTGATTGACGACACTCTTGTTGGACAGCAAGTCTTCGATGTGCCAGCTCGCCCGCCACCTCCACAAGTGGTCGGTCCCCGGGAAGTTGATCTGATCGCTCTGCGACAAGTTAGCACAGGGGCGAAGGAGACAGACGAAAGCAAGGAAAAGAACAAGGCGGAATTGGGAAGGGGCCCAGGAGGAGGAGGAGTGTAGAATAGGAGGATCAGGCCCTCGCCTTGGGATCCTTCGTCACCGTGGCGGCGCAAGTATCCAGAAGGTCTTGCAGGGGAAGGACCGCGAGCTGTCAGGCATGTCAGCCTACGCATCGCCTCTTATCTCAGCCATCACAATCGAAGGGCTTGCAAGGATCGACTGCACGATTTGCTTGGCAACAGGGGGTGAGCACTTGAGAGGAGCTGGCCCGGTGCAGCCAAAGCTCCTCCACATCTCATCGCGGCTGCTAGCTGGGAGAGAATCCCACCAGCTGGAAAAAAATGTCAAACATACGTCGAAGCAAGGAGAGCGAAAGGTAGGAGCAGGACGAGAGCACAAGAGAGCGGGAGGACGCAGCGTACCAAGCGAGAGTGGACATGTCGTGAGTCGACGTGGAGGCAACAGACAGGTAGGGATACTCCGACGTTGGGCCTCCAGTGACGCGAGGAATCCTCAGCCCCTGCTCTCTGTCACTCGATGAGAAAAGCGCGAAGATCTTCGAACCGGTATTGACATGTCGGAGAGAACACGAGGAAGGCACGCCGGTCCAGGTCCCATATCTTCACCGCATAGCAGCATGTTTGACGCAGCCTGCTCCTCGTCAGGAGACGGAAGGAAGCTATTTCAGTATCTCCAAACCAGCAGGTGGCGGAGGCTTTCCCTTGCTGTGGCTTCACATAGATCCTCCTGCAAATTGATCAACATCGCCAACTTTCGCTTCACGGAATCGAGTCGTGTACCTGCCTCCAGGAGAAATACGCATCATGCAGCTCCTTGAGCTTGATCTGACAGCAGAAACTAAGGACAACACACCCCAGCATCCAACTCTATTCTTTAATCCTGACCTGCCAATCATGCCCCAGCTCCGCGAATGAGTCGGTATCCCACATCCTGGGTCCAAACTCAGACACTGGAGAGCTCAATCAGGAATCTTACTTGTATCGAGGGTAGAAACGATCGTCTGGGAATTTCTCATCCCTTATGAGACATCTGTCATCAACAGTGAGGAGGTCTGGCACAAGGAAACGGTAGAGACAATGCACCGATCGTTCAAAAACAAGATGAGTGCGTGCAGAACAGCCTGTCTCGTCATCCCCTGCACTTGGACAGGGTCTCTCTCCTAGTACATCACGTCACCAGAAGGACGAATATTAGTAGGAGAACACAGACTCACCATCGCATCCTGAAGTGCCTTCTCTGTGTCAAGGCCAGGCTTGAAGCTATAGGTTCCTATCCATTTACGTCAGTGTCGTTGTGTCATGATCAAGACCGAGCAAGATACCATGTAGCCCTTGCGAGAAGAAGCGACGCACAACATTTTCCCAGTCTTTGCCGAACCTGAAAGAAGGAGAGAAGGGCAAGAAATTATGACAAGTTCACAAAAACAAACATCACAAAGAGATGGATGCTTTGATACCTTCGTTCCAACAGATGCGATCGAACGTACGGCTGAGTCAAGCGCTGCCTATCCCATAAACCCTACAAACAGAGCTTGAGTCCGGTATTGATACTCAATTGCTATGAGACCTTAGAGTCCAACTCTTCCTTCGTGATGGGGTGGCTGGGACTGTCACAAAGAGTAAGGCAAGCATGCCCAGACGGTTGAAGGGCCATTACAAGTAATGTCCTCCGAGCCCAGTCACTGCATGAGCTGGTAGATCCCAGAAACGGAAGAATCCCAATATGTGGTCTGAAAGCATTATCAGGACATCAAAATTCCAGCAAGGATTTCAGTCACCAAGGCGGACAGAGTGGAAGTACATGTTCATGCTCCTGTGCATTGCGGTGAGTTGCATGCCATCACTATTTCGTGCCTGCACCGCAGTCTCGCTCTCCACCAAGAAAATCCATCCCTCATCATCTTTTCCCAGTCATAAGCCGGGAAGTTCCAGTTCTGCGGTACACAGATTGAGTCTCGATCTCAAGTCTTGTAAACAGATTTCGACCTGCCCCAACTCTGTGAAGGCATCTGGCGGTGCTCCCATCCGCTTGTCTAATCTGAATAATTCTACAGATAAGGAAATCAGTCCGAAGGCAAAGACAATTCTATTTGTCCTGATACCTGGCCTTGACCAAATATCCACACCATTTCGAGAAACACCAATCGGCAAATCGCCTATCAAGGCTACCCCTTTCTTCGCAGCATATCTGCAACAATCGTGAACGTGTGCAATAAGCTACACAAATCTCAATTCGACCGGCTTGCGTCCAAGAATTGCTTGTGCAAGTGATATTGAACCCAATACCAATATCTGACAATTGGGTCAGGTAAACTAAGATACTCATGGACAGAATGATCTACCTGCAAGCGTTGTACTTGTTTCCTCCTGGACTTGAAAGAGCATCCATCTAGAATACAAAATCACTCACTTCAACTATCGAAAGATCGAAATCATCAACCTGTGCAAATGATAGCCTGCCCATCTCGCCCCATTGTGATGGATCACTCACACCATACATGTCCCTTGTTGTGCGTCAATACAGCTACATACCAATTTGAGCAGGCAAAACCTCAGAACACAATATAGCGCATAGGGTTTGAGCCAGTATCCCTGGAATTGCAAGGTGACATCCCATCCATTGATGTATGGATCTAGATTTAAATCGGTCACCTGATCCAACACAAAGTCTGCGAATTCTTCAGACTCCACAACTCTCTTTCCAGAAGCTTCATAGGCCATTCGTAGGAGGCGAAGTTTGGCTGTCATAACCTTCTCATAGTCCAGCGGCTCGCTGGAGGTATATATCAGTCAGGTAGTCATTCTAGTGTATGTAGAAATACAGCAATGTCGATCCGCAACTCTCGTCCACAACTGTCTGATTGCTGCCCTCATTCATTGACTTGACGGTATCTTGTATTTCCCGCAAGACTGTAAAACGCAAGATTTTAAATGCATGTTCTCGGCGGCCAATAAATCATCACCATCCAAAGGAAGATCTGGCAAGCTCTGAAGCCTCAGATACAACGGATGTAATGCATGCACAGAGACGGAGGAATACGGCGAGCTGAAAACACTGCTTCAGCACAGGACATCAGCTTTTGCACGACACAACAACCTGTCCTCCCAGGTAGCATGTGCGTGCGCAGTGGTATCTGTCAAAGGAAGCAGTTGCACAGAGTTGAGCCCAACCTATTAGCATCGTGTCATGCAAAAATCATGGGAGCAAATGATCACTTTGTCGCAGAAATCCACGAGCAACTTGATGTCTTCAAACTCTCCAGTTCCCATTCCACTGCACAGATACATCTCAATCAGCCACCGTCTAAGCAACAAAAGCGGGAATATCGACCTTCGTGACCGTAGGGAGAAGAGTGGAAGACTGACTCCTGTTCCCCGAAAGCGGTCTGCCTTTTCAACAGGCCATCTAAATCAAGTATCTCAACGAAATGCATATGTTGGAAACACTCATTACCGATCGGTTGTAGCTTCATCCCGCACTGATACAACGTACTTGCTATTTCGAATACCCTCCTGTTGAATCAAAATCACTCAGCCTCTCGGTTGCCGTGCAGATAAGCATCAAAGACCTGCTGCAATATCCCAACTGGGCGACCAAGCCACCGAGGAGCTCCAGATTCTCTGTAGTATTTGTATAGATCACGAATCGAGAGCTTGACCCAGCAATCTCAGCATCATACCTATCCACTATTTCTCCGTTGGTAAGATTGACCACGACATATTTGTACTGCAAAACATTCAGAAACAAGCAACAATCAAAGAGACTGATGACACCTGTGCAGGAAGAAGCTGGGTAGGGGCTTCAAGATCAAGTTCCCACGACTACAGGACAATTCAGTATGGGGCCAAATTGAAAGAATATATGCATACGGGAAATCTTGCACATGACATGACAGCGACATCCTTTAGAAGTGCCTGACACGAAATCTGGTCAGGAAAATTGTGTCCGCTTCAGTGCGAACGGTTACCGCACTCTCTACAGCCATCGCACAACCCAATGGAACTCTTGTCCGCTCAACATTCAAATGAAAATTTGTGATTGCAGCCTTCACAAGCAAAATTTACGAAGATCAATCACAAAGACCGCAGGAATACCCTCTTCTCCCCGTCTTGAGGCTCAGCATGTTTCATCACATCCGCAGCATGTTTGACCTGCAGACATTTTGAACAAATGTTCAACCAGGACGGTGTAAGAGATACGACCTTCCCATCTAAAATTGCCTCTTCTACGGCATCCAACCGGCCCTGACCATAAACCACTTGTGCAATGGCATCTGCCAAAAAGTCAAAACAGTTGTACTCAATATTTCCCCAAGTACCTGTCCTGAGCACCCAGTCTTCTCCGTTTTGGCGACTCACACGCCATTGATCTCGAACCTAGCAGGTTATAAGGATTCGAATCAATATTCCAATAGATGTAACCTCAAGCTGCATTGGTTCTTGACGGCTGGCAGCCTGCAGAAAACCAATATTTGAATATTTGAATGTAGAGAATCGATCTGGTTCGTTACCTCAGACAGCGACGACGAAGAGCCAGCACTGCCCACGGCTAACAAGCCCCTCCTCCTATAACAATTGAGCATCAGAAACAATAACTGATCAAAAAAGTTTTGCAATTCATTGCCTGTTGGAGCTCTGTCTCACTAAGTCATCGATATCGAGGTATCTGCCATAACGAATCCCCCCTTCGACAAGTGGCTCGCCTTTCTCTCGGACTAGTGCATAGCGATAAGATAGTCCAGTTGGGGCAGGATGCATTACAGTGACGTATTCCCAATCCCCGTTCGCAATGTAGCGCATAACTTTGCCTTTGCCCATCGCAATGGCTCTTCTTGTCTCTGCTTCCGAAGGATTTGATATTCCACCCAGCTCATCTGTCGAGCCAACGATGATTACATTTTCTCCCCATCTTGTAGAGTAATTGATTCGAAATTTCACTGCAATCTTCATCCCTGTCGTGATGGGGCGGTTTCCTGGCACAGAAGACATCACTCTCATTTTTGAAGAAACATCCAGCAGTGTAGAATCCGTTTCACTCCCGGTGGAATCTCCCACACCCGACTCGCTTCGAGCTCTCGGAGTTTTAGATACAGCAAGATCTCCGCCACGTATTGTCAGTCTTAGCTGCATGTCCATTGGATCTTCTGGGGTTCTACTTCTCGCCGGCGATGGCTCCCTTGATGGTGCGGATGGAATCGTTGGACCAAGCAAAGGTGCAATGCAAGGAAAAGTAATGCAGTCTGTGACTGATATTGTTGTAGATAGAATCAGTATCGTCACCAACACGAGCCGACGTATGTCAAACATCCTGGGAATTCTATAGTGGGTCATATTCCCAGAAATAAAGACAGGTTTCACGGTTAGAAGCATTAATGTCCCGGGAATCGAGTGCATACACTGTTTGAGGTAATTAGAGAGATATCTTGAACGGAATGGAGCCGATTAAACTCCTGCATCCCGGCCAAATTCTCGTGAACGAGAGAATGTCCTCTACAACCGAAGCATGGCACTGAGATGCCAAGTCGTCCTCGTGGATGTTGAGTTCCAACAATGAATCTTTGCAGGAGTATTTATACCGATTTGAATCAACACAATCAGTTGAAACTCGTGCCTATATTCTTGGGCTTTGCCTGCATCAAACGGATCAATGAATGAAAACAGAGGCATCAAACACCAGTAATATCTTTCATGTTGAAGGCATCAAGCATGGCCAACAAATGGCTTCTAAAGCAGCAGACTTTCGTACATATAGATATAGATGAAAAGATGCAATCAATGGATTAATCACTGCTTGTGTACTGGCAGTGTGGTCCTAAACTGATGCTCTGGAATTCATGAAAGTCATGGTCCGCTCATAAGAGAGTAAGCTTGCCGACTCTACTCACAATACAAATGTCAACAAACCATCATATACTCCAGTTTCAAATCTATTGCTATCGATGCACAGGAGAGTCCGGAGATCGTGCTCTCCTGACTCATGTTACATATGATCATCTACATGGGCACTGAAGCTCTCTTCACTCCAATAGCAACCAGAACCAAAGAAACACACCCTATAACTGATTTTTCGCACAAGCAACATCACTTCAAACAACATCATGGAATGTTTGTCTCTTTCTGTTGTCTTTCTGCATGCTTTGCTGCATGTGCAAGCGCAATGAGGTCATCACCCCCAACGCGGCATGAAGGTTCCGCCCCACGGTTTTATCAATTTTTAAGACCCACGAATAAAGGTACTCTTGCTGGTACTAAAATTAAAATATAAATGGTTATGTTTTTTCTCTATCAAACCTCGATCTCCAGCTTACACGTACATAATTAAAATGAGATTGTTTTATAAAGTCCTCTGATCGGTATTATTCGTACCTGAATTGTACGGTGAAGGGGCGGAGCAGCTAAAAGTTTGCTAGGATCTGGTTTTATTCTTGTACGGAGTCACTTTTATATTTGAGAGGTGGACGGTTGAAAATACCTAACAAATTGTTTTAGGCTGTTTGTAAATCTTGTTTTCAATTTGAGTACCTAGACAAGGCTAAAACAATATAAATGTCTTTTTAGACATTTTTGAGCCTTAATAGCGGAGCCTTTAATATATAATAAGATTCTGGGGCGGACCGGGTAGAAGATGGAAATATTGTGGGGTGATCACCACACCCCTACCCAACCATTCCGAACCCTACCCTGGATCTGTCCGATTATAGGTATAGAGTCAACCCCTTTTATATACTACCCTCTTTGGAGAATTGTTGCGTACCGGTGTTGATATACTACCCCACCTTTGACAAATGGTTGCCACTCTAAAACTTGTTGTAAGAACACGATAGATACTGATCATGTGGTACATTCTTAAAACTAATTAGCAATATTAAAAACAAATGTTTTAAGATAATCAATTCATAAAATGCTTTTATTCCGCCTTTCACTCTCTCCCAGGGGCACAAAACCTAGTCACCCTGGCGAGGTCAGTACCCCACCCATCCTTCAGTATCCTACCCCCCTTTCTTCTATCCTTTATACCCCCTTCATCCCTCCGTCAATTACCCTACCCCAGTGATAGAATTACCCACCCTAAAATGATGACCCACCAGACTTTGTTGACATATAATAGATATAATAATGGCTTACATCGCCCGTACGATCACTTCTTTAAATGTATTATGGGCTCGCCCGACCACCCCGTACCCCGTCATAATGAATGGAGGACCCCTACCCCCAGATCTCCACACACGTTGAATGTGGTCTACCGGCTACCGTGGATGCCATTGTGATCCACCGGCTTTCGCGGCTTCAACACGTAAAAGTTCCATGGGATCATGGGACAGTTTGCGGGCACCTCGGAGCAGGGGCGGGGGCGGGGGCGGGGGCAGGGGCAGGGGCAGGGGCAGGGGCAGGGGCAGGGGCAGGGGCAGGGGCAGGGGCAGGAGCAGGAGCAGGAGCAGGAGCAGGAGCAGAAAGAGATTGTGGAAAGTGAGGTGTAGACCAGAAAATGATACTAGAGCAACGATTAGATCCACGACAGCAAACGACGAAACAAGAGCAGGAGACGCGAGCAAGCGCAATCGCTACAAGAAGCAATTGATCGGAACGAGGCTAACGGTAGAGAATAGGTGATGTAGAGTGCTGCAGAGGATTTGAAATTTTCCTTTGATTGCGAGACGCAAAAGGACAAGGGAACATTGGAGATTGAAGAATAGCTCCAAGAAAGGAAGAAACGATAGAAAGAAAAAACGCGCATGACTAGATTGGTTGTTAGAGCTTTGTGTGTCAATTCATCTGTCAAGTCCCGGAATTGCGTCAGTATATTGCAGTACTATGACAATTGAAATCAGGCCATTGTCGATCCGTGGACTACATTCACCAAGGGGTTCAGTTGTCATGAACAGGCTCTGGCAGTCGATCAAACGCCCGGTTGGAGGCAATGTGAGTAGAAGAGAAGGAAACGGCAAGGGGGGAGGAAATCGTGTTGTGGCGGCGGCGGCGATGAATCGATGGAGATGACGATGACGAGGATGATGATGATGATGATGATGATGATGATGATGATGATGATGATGATGATGATGATGATGATGATCCTGGTATGACTCGACCTTAGTTTTCCAGATGCTTCTCAAGTGAGGTTCCAGAGATTTTTGATCGGACCGCCAAGAGAAAGCAGATGGACAGGGTGGCAAGCAGGTGCTGCCTGCTCGTTGCAAGCGGTGCGAAGATTGATCCAGCTCGGATTGTGCAGGCTGGACGAGAGGATCAGTGGCCAACTGAGAGGGAAAGTCGCCGAGGACCTCCTTGACAGATTATGGGATACTAACAAGAAGTAGCTACCTTGACGCTTCTCTTCTCCAACCCTCCCTCTCCTCCTTCGCCCTCTTTGCCGCAAAGCCTCACTCCTCCTCACTCCGTCCTTGCAGATTTCCTGTAGCTGCCGATGTTGGATGCGCGGAAGGATTGCTGCTGAAGAACATGTCTGGGGTGCGTTGCAGAGCAATTGCTTCACCATCGAGTGATATCGAGCGCCAGGGAGTAGGAGGAATCAGCAAATTGTACCAGTGCGATCAGTCACAGAACATGTTGATGAAATGCCGGTATTTTCAATTTTTCCTCCCCTGCTTCTCTTCTTCCTCTCCCTCCTCCTCTTCTTCCTCTCCCTCGTTTTCTTCTTCCTCTCCCTCCTCCTCTTCTTCCTCTCCCTCGTTTTCTTCTTCCTCTCCCTCCTCCTCTCGACTCCCCCTCGCTCACTGCTGTCCTCCATGTCTGTGCCTCTCCCTCCCCTGTCATCACCCTGACCTTTTCTCCGCCTGATAATCATATCTGAGTAGGAAGGGGCTTGTCAATGGGATCCATGCAACGACAGTTCTGGCAGACAGCGAGGTCAGTCCCTTCCTTCCGCAGTCACAGAGTTGATCAACATGTCCACCTCCTCCTTCTCTCCGCTGCCCCTCCCTTCTTCACTCATTTTCGCAGTTCCTGCCGTTCTTGCCGGAAAGTCTTGACTTGGTCATGTCAAATCTCACGATGCATTGGATTAACGATCTTCCTGGTCTCTCTTCATGTCCTTCACTTTCCTCGCCTCAGTCGATTCGGATTGCAGGAACCTTGACTCAGATCCGAAGGGCACTAAGACCTGGTGGGATGCCTCCCCTCCCCTGTCCTGCCCCTTCCTCTTTCTTATTCCTGCTCGCCTCAGACGGTCTCTTCCTAGCCTCGATGCTCGGTGGCGACACTCTCATAGAGCTTCGACATGCGATCACAGTAAGTTGCTTCCTTCAATTTCTACGGCTGATACAGATTCTTCCTTCCCTTTCTATCGACTCTCCCTTCCTCCCTCCCTCCCTCCCTCCCTCCCTCCGTCTCTCCCTCCTCCTCCTCCTCCTCCTCCTCCTCCTCCTCCTCCTCCTCCTCCCGCATCTTCGGCTTCTGTCTCTCCTCCTCGGTTTCCTCCTTCCCTTGCCTGCTCCTAATTGTTCTCCTTCCGGTTCTTCCTGACCTTCTCTCTCTACCTCTTTCTCTCCTTACCGCTGCTTCCTTCGTTTACATCAAAGGTGGCTTCCATGGAGCGAACAGGAGGACTCGGGTCACATCTTTCTCCCCTAGCGAACGTCGCGGACGTGGGCGGGTAGAGTGGAGAAAGGAGGAGAGGAGGGGAATGAGGATGGAAAGAGTGGGTGAGGAAGGTGTTTGGGTGTGTGGGAGGGAGGAGATGGGAGGCGGAAAGTTGATATGTACGTCAGCCTGCTCGGTGGGGCTGGCTTCTCTCTCACAGCCGTTGACGTTGACACCGTCACGATCATGTTTCCCGACGCCATGTCGCTCCTTTACGCACTGCAGGTTGAGGAGGAGGAGAAGGAGGAGTGATGAATTTGGATCTTGGTTGTTGACGAACAGGAGGAAGTGGAGGAGGAAGGATGGGAGAGGGAGGAGGATGGGAGGGGGGAGAGCTAGCAGTGGCGGATGACGCGGTTGGCTCAGGACATGGGGGAGAACAACGCTGTGCACGGCAGGCAGATGAGGCGACAAACGCTGATTGCAGCAGCTGCTGTGTATCAGGCGATGTATGGAAGGGAAGGAGGCGCCGTTCCTGCGACCTTCCAGGTGGAAATGGAAATTGAGGAAGGGAAGATGAGAAAAGCGGAGGGGAGGGAGAGAAAAAGGGGAAGGCACGGGAGAGAAGGGAGCGGTCGAGGTCGAGCAAGAGGTCAAGCAAGAGAGTGATGAAGCGATCGTGACAGAAGCGGGGAGAGGAGGAGGAGGAGGAGGAGGAGGAGGGGACACTGATGTGTATGTTGCAGGTGATCTATATGTCTGGTTGGGCTCCGCACGCGTCGCAGCAGAAGGCGAAGACGAGAGGATCAGCACAGGCCTGCTCCGCCTCCTCTTGCTGCTCGGGATCTGACGGGCCAGACAGATGTCGCTGGAGGACCTCCGAGAAGTTTTGAACAAAATTGACGACGGAAAGGGAGGAAGGGGAGGGGGAGGGGGAGGAGGAGGAGGAGGGGTTGTGGAGGGGAGGAGGAGGGGGTTGTGGAGGAGGGGGAGGAGCGGGGAGGAGCTAGAAACTGTGAGTGTACGAAGAGAATCTTGTTACGCCCTCTTCAGATGAACTCTTTGAGATTGTATGGATGTTGAACATTTTAAGCTTGCCGGTCCTCCCGTTGCTCCCCCTCCTGTTCCTCTCGCTCCTGCTTCCTCTCCTCCTGCCGTCCCTCCCGCCCCCCCTCGTGCTCTCCCTCCTCCTGCCAATCTTCCTCCAACACAGCCTGTAAGCTTGACAGAACTTTCGACGATCGAAACAGCTCGAGGACGACGGCGTGATCGACGTCCCGCCTGATAGGAAAGAGGCACTCGACCTTGCCACCATCATCCGACTGACAGCAAGTGAGAAAGAGGAGCAGGGGAGAGAGGGATAGAGGAGGGGAAGGGAAACTGGAAGAGATGAGAGGAGAAAGAGGAATTGTAAAACAAGAGGGAGGAGGCAGGAGCATGAGCACGAGCACGAGGGTGAAGACAGGAGGAGAGAAAAGGAGAGGAGGAGCAAGAGAAATCTACCTTCCGTCTGCCGACCCGTTTCCCTCCCCATCTAGGGGAAAGGTCAAGAAGATTCAGTCTCCTCAGCTCCTTGCCGTCCTGATCAGCACCAAGGGAACGCAATGTCTACCTCACCCCTCCTCGCACCTTCTTCGCCAGCTCCCCTTGCTGGCAGCTGACCTTGACCACGAAAGTTTTCCCGTCGGGCCTCTCCCGCATGCTGGAGCGCTGCGCCTGCTCTCTTGCTTCCCTCCTCCTCGCCTTCACCTCCTCCTTCAGCAGTGCGCGATCTTGCGAGAGCTCTTGGGGCGGCCTCAGCTTACAGAAGACGTAGCACCTGGAGACGTGGCAAGGGAGGAGAGCGGTGGTCAGGGATGAAGAGAAGAGAGCAGGTGCTGTACTTGCACATAGCGTGTCCTTTGTTGTTGAAGTTGAAGTGATCAAGAAGGGCAAGTCGGTGATTCTTCAAGATGGGAACAATCTGAAAAGAAAATGAAAGAGACTCAAAAATTGGTCTGGTAGCATCTCAATCATCTCTATCACATCAATTCTATCATCAATGCCATTGTCGTCATTTTCATCATGTTTATCATCCTCATCTTCTTCCTCTCCATCATCATCGTTCTCATTATCGTCTCACATCCTGCTCGAACGTCTTGGTGCGGATAGTCACGACCAGGAGGATCCCGTTGACTGCGAGAGAAGAAGCCCATCGCCTTGACGATCGACATCAGCTTCTCGTAAAACTTGCAATGATTGCAAATGCTTCACAAGACTCTTTTATGCGTCAATGCACCAACACTAGACAGAACTCAGAGATCTGAGATCAAAACCATGATCTTCGACTATCTCAAGCATCACAATAATTGAAAAGGCAACAAGACCAATAAGATCACAATCCCATCGAAGGATGCGCAGGGTGAACTCTCAAAAGCCAAGAATTTGATCTGTCAAACAAACTCACTTGGCCCATATCGGCGTGGATTTCATCACTTGTGACCAACTCCTGTTGGAAGGAAAAGAGTCAAACTGACGGAATAAAAGGCAGAAAGACGATCAGAGACAGAGTCAGAAACAGTGACAGACGGTGGTATAAGGATGAGAGAGGAGGAAATGGATAGGGAGGAAGGGAAGGGAAGGGGAGGAAGGGAAGGAAGGGGAGGTAGGGGAGGAAGGGGAGGTAGGGGAGGAAGGGAAGGAAGCGACAGGGACAGTGAAAGAGACAGGAAAACAGACAGACACGAGGCGAGACATAGAGACGAGACGAGACTGAGAGAGGGAGGGGGACAGGGAGACAGAGACAAAAGGAGGAGAAAGGTAGGGAGGTACCCGTGTCTGTGACCCCAGGGGGGGTCGACGATGATGATGTCCGCCCATTCGCTTTCGCAAGGCTGGAGTGAGACGTGATTACATCACTGCCCATCAACAGGCAAGGCCAGCAAGAAATGAGGAGCAGACTGATTGCTACACGACACATCAAACGAGCTCGCCTGCTCTTCGCGCAAGTCGCAAACGTGGAGATCCAGGGGGAAGTTGATGTCTATCCCGGTCGTCAGCTTTTCAAGAGTTTCAGGAAGTTTAAACTTTCACCATCAGCCAACCACGTCAGGTTCCCCTTGGCAACGTCGATCGAGACTTGTTCGGCGTCACATCCAATCACTTCCTGGCAGACATCGCCATCATGGCTTCGATGAAGAGGGGAGATCAGTGTGCTTGACGGTCCTTACCAGCCCGAACTTGAGCTTGTTAGCGACGACTGCAGTTGCGCAAAGGAACGTCCCAACCCCGCACATCGGATCTAGAATGTGAACATCTCTCTTTCTGCCATGTTTCTCTGTCGCTCCTCTTCCGCTCCCGTCGTGTCTCTTGTGTGACTTGACACTATCCAGCATCCTGAACTTTGCCAGAGCAACCCATGCCATGCAGAAAGCAACAGAGTCGTCAGCACGGGATCGAACGTCACCCTAGCAAGGGCACACCAAGATCAGTCGCTCCCATAGCTCCTCCCTCCCTCTTCTCCACCTTCCGCACGTCGAGATGCCGACAGCGGCACTGAGGGCTCATCCTCCCCATGCACACCATCGTCTTACCGACCCAAACAAAGATCTCCTTCTCAAAGTCCGTCAGCGAGACCTGTCTACCTCTCAGCTCTTAAAACTTCCGGTCATGCTACCCTAGGAAGCGATGATAGCCGCTTCGCTATGGCGTCCCCCACCATGTGCTCCACCTGCGCGAGCAGCAGCAGCCGTGACTCACAAGCATGCTCGAGCACACCAGTACCTCTGGGTGTGTGAAATCGTGCGCCGCATCATACCCACGGGCTGCAGAGACCCTCCATGGCGATGAAGCTTCGCCGTCATGCAAGAAAGCATCGATCTCTTCGATGTTTGCTGCAACCTGTGTGCAAGCATCAAAATCATTTCTTTGTTATCAGACACAATGAAAGAGAACCAAATTATCCACAGCGTCTTCTAGAGCCTCTCTGCACATGTTTGGGACCAAGAGGACACTATCGAAATTCCCTCCTGGTGGAGATGTCAGGACTTGACGTTCCTCTCGTTCCTTCCTCTAACCCTTTGTGAATGTATGAAACAGATGGATGAAGGTCTTTGGAAGATAGTCAGCTAAATTTCCACGTGTCATTTCATGAACTAGCAGCCATGTTCAAGCTCACTGTCCTCCACCTCTATCAATGCCGCGCACTCATTTGGAAAAGTCAGGAGGCTGGTGCAATTGACCGCCTTCAACTCCTGCACGAGAATATGTTGGTTGGTTCCATTGCCCTCGTCATGCTCATCAATCGCTCTTCCTCCTCGCCCCTTAATCTCGGGTCCCACATTTTTCCTCCTCTCCTCCCTTCTAGGACCTTCTTGCTTCGGAATATGAGAGGAAGGGGGAAGGGGGAAGGGGGGCAGGGGGGGAGGGAGGAGGGAAGGAGGGAGGAGGTGACGAGGGGAGGAGGGAAGGAGGGAAGGAGGGAAGGATACAGAGACGGGAAGGAGGGGAGAAGGGAAGGAGTGGAGCAGGGGAGGAGAGCAAAGAGTCCCTCTCCTTCCTGTCCTCACCTCCTCCACCGCTCCCCGCAGCCCATCGCCATGCACGCCGAAGAAGTGCATTGATTAAAGAACTTTGCGGGTATAATCACGGCCCGCCTCAGGTTTATCAAGAGCTTTTTGGAGGACAGCAATTATCTCTTAGCTTGGCAGCGAAACAGGATGCCCCCATGGTGAGGCGGGCTGTGTTCACGGGAATGCAGAGAAGCGCCTCATGGGCGGTGGCCGCCTGCATGCTGCTGGCGGGCTTCGGGGCGGGACATGCGGGTAGGAGAGGATGGGGGAGAGCTGTGAGAGAGGGAATGACATGGTCGTCCATGGAGGAGGAGGAGTTGACGTCCAGAGACTCGTCGACTTGGACCTCAGGTTGGCTCGCAGCCCAGTGTGGGACTGTGTCAATGACCGGCTCCACTTTGCGGTGAGGCCCCTTGCGGCGCCATGGAGGAGGAGGAGATGTGCTGATGTGCCGTCTGAAGGATGTGCTGGGAGAGAAGGTCCTGTCTTACAGCCCTGCGACTAGCAAGTGTCAGGTACGTCGGTCATGACACGATGGCCCACCGAGATCTTACGGCATGTTTTGTCAGTCGATCGACATGCAAGAGTATGTAGGTTGTGTGGTGAGTGAGACTGTCCTATGCATGCTGAAAGTGCTGGGGAAAGTGATCGATATCCATGAATTTTCAGTCTCTTTATCAAAAAGACAGGATATTCGCTGTTGGCACAGAGAAGGTTTATCAGGTCCATTCATCGTCTTGTATGTTTTCTTTCAAGTCACTGTACTTTCAAGCTCATCTTTAACGACGAGTTCGAAGAGAGAGTGCCGCTCCATTGCGCCATCCTGCCGCCATCGGAGTGTGTGGTACCTGCACAAACCCTGTTGCACCTGTGCCCCTGAGCCTTCTCTGTGCAGCAAATCAAGCAGGGAGAAGACGTTTTCATCCAGTCACCAGACGGTGAGGGATATAGTGTGAGGGAAGATAGGTCAGCTTGACTCCTTCTGGAAGGGTTGAACTTTGTGGAAGCAAGAAACGATCCAGAGGGAAGGTGAGTCGGTCCAGTAAGGCCCGGGAAGACCTGGAACAAACGGATCTGCTTCCAGGTTGTGGCTGGCCAATGCATACGAGCCCGACAAGGAGCCCATGTTTCCTTGCAACCCGATCGCAAAGTTGTTCTGCATTCGACCTCCAGCCGGAGTAAACCTCTCCTCCTCGCATCCGGCTGATGTTTGATCCAACGACACCGCAGTGGGCAGCCGAGGATAACCTGGACGGTCTGGTCCACCAGTACGGGCCCAACATGGTCATGAAAGAGAAGTGATCCTGCTTTTCCTGCCTTCTCGCGTCGGAACGGCTGAGATGCTTCTTCTCACCAGGTTGGTGGGCTTCCAAGGATGCCGTGGGATCGATTTCTGGGAGAGCCCGGCGGAGACAGATAGCGCGACTCGCCATCTGTTGGTTCTCAACGGCACTGCTCGGGTGAAGTTTGTTTGTAGCGTCAATCTTCCTCACCGTTGGGTTGTCGACAGGTGCTCCAGTCCTACCTGGTTCTGAAGGAGAATGGTACTGTCATTGAAGACTCCCAGAAAATCGTAAAACTTGCTCCTTGCTCGGCCAGACAGTCACTCGTGCGATAGATGCTCCAGTTTGGAAGCGAGGGGGATCAACTGATGCAGCCTGCTTGTTTCTGCATCGACAGCGAAGGTAAAAGTCGCAGGGGCTGAACTCATGGACTCACCGCGCCAAGGCAAGGTTTGGGTTGCGTTCGAAGGGAGCGAAAAGCTCGTTCGGTATGACGTGGAAACCGGAGCAGCTTTGCAGGTGGAGCAGGAGACAAGGGGGCTCATTCCTAGCCATTGATCTTGCTTTCAGCACGTAGAACTGCCGACCAAGAGGGTGACGGGGATGGCGTTCGGCGGCGAGACATTGGAGGATCTTTATGTCACCGTCAGGTTTGAAAAGTGTCTGAAGCCACAAGTCAGTCATGTGCCTTGCAGCATGGGCAAGCAGCAGGCCATAGGCAAAACAGGCCAGGAAGTAGGAGGAGGAGGAGGAGGAGGAGGAGGAGGAGGAGGAGGAGGAGAAGTGAGAGGTGACGAGAGTGGAGGAGGACAAGTAGGAGGAGAAGGGCGAGGTGACGAGAGTGGCGGAGGAGAGAGAGAAGGAGGAGAAGGAGAAGGAAAGGAGAAGGGAGAAGTGACGAGAGAGGAGGAGGAGAGAGTGCAGGTGAAGAGAGAGGAGGGATTCTAAGGGTGAAGATTCCCGGCATTCGAGGACGCCGCGACCCTCACTTCGTGCACCCATTGCCGTCGAAACCAAAACTCAAGCAGAAGAAGAAATGGCAGAAGAACTTTGTTAAGAAAGCTGTCTCATAATGATCGAGGAGGGTGCGAAGGAGGAGACTAGACTCAGATAAAGAACTGATTACACTCTTACGTTTTCCCGGTGTGTCACTCTACCAGTGACTAGTTCATCTCTCTCAGTTTAAGTTCGGGGCTGGTCCCGTTCCGACAGTCCGAGCCAGTGAACAAACAGCCGCCGCAGTGAGCATCCGGGACTATCGAGACGGCTCGGTCCGATCCTATCGGGTCACACTGTCGGAGTGGCCCGGCCCGGCCCGGCCCGGCCCGGCGACTCCCGGAGCCTCAGCCGGTCAATTTTGCAGTGCAGTGCGGAACTGGCCAGTCGCAATCGGAGGGGGTTGTACAGATAGGGGCTGCCACAACAATGCCGGACAGACAAGATGCTATGGAGGAGGGGGAGGGGAACGAGGGGAGGGAGAGAGAGGAGGAGAGAGAGGAAGATGACAGTGAAGGCTCATCATACGAGCATGAAGAGGATGAGGAGGTTGAGAACGCAGACTTAGATAGCGACACGATGGTGTTGATAGACTTTGATGCTGAAGAGAGCGGGGAGCATGATACGGGGGACGACGAATCATCGTTCCCTTCGGACGATGAGGAGCACAGCATGAACGAAGATGGCGATGTGAACGAGGAGCTCTCTCGGAGACGAACTCAGATGCTGGAGAGCATGAACTACGACCCCAACCTTCCAGCAGCCCATACCTACCTTGGGGAGAGGTCTACAGCCTCGGGCGAAGTGATAGGCATCTGCAAGGATGGAGACGTTCTGGACGTCCCTGTAGTCAGAGCAAGTCGCATCATCATGTTCCCTGGTCAGAGTGTGCCCATGATGGAGTCGAACCCCCGGCTGGTCAACCTGCTGCTGAGGATCTTGAGCGACCCCAACGAGAGGAAGCTTGTCTTCGTCAACGAGGCCATCGCGCAGAAGGTTTGGAACCTCGAGGACCCTGCAGGATCCATAGGGACTACAGCAGAGATCCGCAGCTACTGCCACACCCCCGAGGCGCTCAACATCGTCCTGGAGGGGAGGCAACGGGTTCGAGTGCAGAAGGTCGTGGTTGTTGAGCACGTCCTCCGTGCTGTTGTCGAGGTTCGCTCCCCTTTCCCCCTGTCTTTCTTCTTCTGCTCACTCTCCTTCCTCCTGTCTTTCTCTGATCGCTCCTCCTCCTCCTGTCTTTCTCTGATCGCTCCTCCTCCTCCTGTCTTTCTCTGATCGCTCCTCCTCCTCCTGTCTTTCTCTGATCGCTCCTCCTCCTCCTGTCTTTCTCTGATTGCTCCTCCTCCTCCTGTCTTTCTCTCATCGCTCCTCCTCCTCCTGTCTTTCTCTGCTGTCGCCGCCTCCTCCGCCTCCTCCGCCTCTCTCACACAGACTCGTCGCTCAGGTCTTGCCCGAGTCGTCGCCTCCATCCGTTCCTCGCTCGCTTGCCCTTGTCAACACGAGAGCTCGAAGCTGCAGGCGCGATCGCTGCCAACCATCCTTCCTCTTCTGGCCCATGTGGGCGTTCAACATGTACGATGCTGTAGAGCTCTGCGATAGAGCGAAGAAGCTCTTCTCAGCCATCACAGGCAACATCCCGGTTGCCTGCCCGCAGCACCCTGTCGCCTTCAGGTGATGGAGGGAGCAGGGAGGGAGACGGGAGCAGTGAGCAGGGAGCAGGGAGGAAGGAGAGAAGAAAGAGGTGGGAGCGGGGAGCGGGGGGCAGGGAGGACAGAGGAGGGAGGGAGGACAGAGGAGGGAGGGAGGAGCAGGGAGGGAGAGGGGAGGAGATACCCGCTAAGCTGCTGCGATTCAGTTTCTGGTTGTCATCGAATCTTGTCCTGAAGGTTCTAGATCACCAGAAGCTGCTGGAGGTTCTCTTCCCCTTCCCCTTCCCCCTCCTCTCCTTCCATACCAATCTTGCCCATTCTCACTCGCAACTCCTCGTCGTCGTCCTCCTCCTCGTCTTACTCCTCCTCATCATCTTCCTCCTCCACCTCATCTTCCTCCTCCTCCTAATCTTTCTTTTAGGCGCATTCGACCGTAGCAAGGCTCAGGATGCTGATCAACTTTCTCGAGAGGTGTGACGCGGACAAGAAAGTGGGAGGAGGGGCGAGGATGAGAGTTAAAGAGGAGGGGGAACGGAGGATGGGCAGCAGGCGACGATAGTGCTGGCCCTGATCTGGTTGTGAAGGATGGGAGCGATGACTTGCATTCGGTGCCGGATCAACATCTGCGACTACAAGCAGGTGAAACAGTTGCGACATGTTTGATCTGAAAGCTCCTCCTTCTTCCCTCTCGTCTCAACGTCTTTCCCTGCTCCTCTTTTTCCTTGTGACAACTGCGCTGCAGTCTTTCTGCATGTCTGCTGAGGGGCCAGTGAGGTGAGAAGGAGAAAAGGAGGATGAGAAGAGGAAGAGGAAGGAGAATTCAAGGAAGAGGAGGAGGAGAAAGGAAAGATAACTGACCTATGACGTCAGCGTCTACGTCAATCCAGCTGGAGTTGTTCACTCGACTGTCACTTTCTACGCGGCGAGAAATCTCAGACTCATCGGGGAAAGGAGGTCAAAACTTCCTTCCTCTCCTCCTACTCCTACCACCACCACCACAACTACGCCCCCTCCTCCTCCTCCTCCTCCTCCTCCTCCTCCTCCTCCTCCTCCTCCTTCCTCTGTCCCTGTGTCCTGTTTCTGCTGCTCTTGTTGTACCCTGCCAATGACGTTCATTGCAAAACCAGCACGCAACATTCATGGTTTCCTGGTTATGCATGGAGGATTGCTGTCTGCGCAAACTGCGGGACTCATATGGGATGGCGCTTCTCCTGCGTAAGATGGAAGGAGGGGAGTGGGGAGGAGAGCAGAGCAGAGCGGAGGGGCAGAGAGGAGGGGAGAAGGAGGATCTTTGAGGAGAAGAGAGGAGAGGAGAGGAGGGACGAGTGACGCGTTTCTTGACAGGTGAAGGAAGACTCCATCCCCAGATCCTTCTGGTCTATCTTCACTGACTTCACTCTCCCTATCGCTGAACTCGTCGAGCAGGGGATTGTGCAGGGATTCACTTCGATCGTCAATGGATGCGACAGCGTGAAGAGAGAGAGAAACGGATCCTAAAATCCTCTCCGCATTCTACCCTCTACTCCCCCTCCCCTGCCTCTCCTCTCCTCCCCTCCCCTCCTGTTTCCTTTGCTCTCCTCTCCTTTGCTCTCCTCTCCGCTCCTTTCCGCTCCTCTCTCCTCTCCGCTCCTCTCCGCTCCCCTCCCCCTACCGTCCCCTGCCCTCCCTTTATCTGTTCTTTTCCCCCTCTGCTCTGCTCTGCTCTGCTCTGCTCTCTTCCTCTTAGATGAGGCTCTCGGGCAACGGGTTATGAACAAGCGATGTCTTGCCTTGTTTGTAGATTTATGTATAGAAGACAAAACGAAACCACCCACAAGTTGCTTGTGACTCCCTGAGATCATCGTCTACCTCCTCCTCCCCCTCCCCCTCCTCCTCCCCCGCTCCCCTCCTCCTCCTCCCCCGCTCGCCCTCCTCCTCCCCCCCCGCTCCCCATCATCCTCTTCCTCCTTCTCCTTCCCTTTCACCGTCTTCTTCTGCATCATCGATTTAGTGGAAAAACAAAATCGTGTTTCAGAGACCCAACGAGGGTAAGCAGCTTTGCGCTGCAAGTTCGAATGACAATGTTGTTGTTGCACCAGATCGATGATTGAGAAGAAGATGGTGAAAAGGGAAGCAGGATGTACGGGAGGACAAGGACAAGGACAAGGACAAGGACAAGGACAAGGACAAGGACAACAAACAGGCAGGGAAGGAGGAGACTGTGAAAGAGGAGGAGGACGAGGAGGATCTAGTGAAGGGTTGGCAGCAGCCACCAGCGTCATCAACATCCAGGACTGAGCAGCAACGAAGTAGCTTCTCCTCGCCTCCCTTCAGCCACTCCCTCCAACTGTCGCCCGCACCTGTCGCCTCTCAAAGGCTCGAGGATGGAGAGGAGGAAAGCGCGCAGGGCAGGCAGGGAAGTGAGGAGCGACAGGAAGAGAGTCAAACTGACAGACGACGAGCAACAGGGGAGGGAAAGAAATCTTGCCGGAAATCTGCTCAAGATCCTCGCAGCTTTTCTATCATCCTGCTCCTGCTCCTGCTCCTGCTCCTGCTCCTGCTCCTGCTCCTGCTCCTGCTCCTGCTCCTGCTCCTGCTCCTGCTCCTGCTCCTGCTCCTGCTCCTGCTCCTGCTCCTGCTCCTGCTCCTTCTCGTGCTCCTGCTCCTGCTCCTGCTCCTGCTCCTTCTCGTGCTCCTGCTCCTGCTCCTGCTCCTGCTCCTGCTCGAGAAAAAGTTCCACAGCATTTGAGATTCTCAGAAACGAATCCTGGTTCGCCTCCACATGCTCCCCTTTACATCTACTCCTCTGTTCTACCATCTCCACCTCCGTCCCTTGATGTTCGTGCTGTCCTGCTCCTCGATTTCCTTTCTTCTTTCCCCTCCCTCTCAATCAACTTGCTCAAGTCTCTGTCCTCCTTCTCCACACCCCTCCTGCCCGGCCAAACTCCTCCTCCTCCTCCTCCTCCTCCTCCTCCTCCTCCTCCTCCTCCTCCTCCTCCTCCTCCTCCTCCTCCTCCTCCTCTATCTATCTAAATCTCCTCCTCCTCGTCCTTCTTTCTGCGCTCCTCCAAGACCTCCACAAGAGATCGCCAAGACAGAAGTCAAATCATCCAACGTTGAAGGCATTCATTGCTAAATGGGCACCAGCCTCGCGTTCCACAACAACTTTGACACGCCACGATCGTCTTGATGGCAACTCACATCGAGAGCATCTCCCTCCTCAACAACAAGCTCCTCATCCAAGGAGCTAGACCCATCCTCCTCCTCTTCCTCCTCCTCCTCCTGCTCCTCCAGCTCGCCCTCCAATCTTCCTTTTCCTCTCTTCTTGGCTCTCTCCCTGGCACCCACATGGCCAGAAGCCCTCCCCCCCTCCCCTTGCAAGGGCAGGAGCAGCCCGTCATGCAAGGCTGAGCGGAACCATGACGTCTGTTGGCTTCTAGCAACGGCGGGCGCACGACCCCCTGAACCTCTTGAATTCCACAAATTGCAAACGACATCAGGAGCGGTCGACGACCTGCGCTCCCTCCGCTCCCAGCACGTCTACCTTCCTCCTCCTCTTCCTTGGAGCATCCCGGGCACGGTCTTCCAGTGCTTCCTCAGCATCTCCATTGCCAGGCTCACGTTGACCGTCATGGGACCCCACTGTGTCGCGCCCTCAGGCGTGATGCCGATGTAGCGGAGCATGAGCTTGAGCGCCATGGCCATGTAGCAGACGTTGACGTGCTTCTCAGCCGGCAGGAACTCCACCACCACCGTCCCCACCCGGCATGCGATCATGTTGCTCAGTCCGGCGCCATGTGGACCGACAACAATTTTCGCTTGTCTAAACTGCATGAGCTGCTCCCGCACCTCCCCCTTCCCGTCATGCACCCGCACCTCGCAACCCTCCAGCCCCTCCCGCAGCGCCTTCACCAGCTCCTCGTGGTTCGAGATGCTCCTCGACGCCTTCCTCCTCTGCACCACCATGACCACACACTTGTTGTTGCTCTCCCTCCTCTCCGCCTGCTCCGGGTCCTGACCCCCCAACGCCGCTCGTAGCAGCGACATGCGCATCAGTCTCAGCGCAGGCGCTGAGGGAGTTCCGCATGGCGTCGGCTCGGGGATGTAGAGGGTCTTCGCCCCCACGAGTCCATCGACGAGCCTGCTGGAGGATATGCCGAGCAGGGCCAGTGCGCTCTGAGTGAACTGGTTCTTGGTCTTAACGTGGACCATGTAGCTTTTCTCCCTGATAGACGACAAGTATTCGATCGCCATCGGCAGCCGGACGAGGTTCTCCCCGAAGAAGTGGTAGTAACCTTCACCCCAGTAGTGCGAGATCGTCGCCACCTTGTCGTACACGTGCGACGGCTTTGACTTCGTGGGCGACCCACTGAGACTGGAGCATCCCTTGGTAATTATGAAGTAGCTGCCATTCTGCGCGTTGCCGTCTGGTTGTACAATAGCGTCACTCAGAATCGCCAGACTCGGGAGAGGGTCGTTCCCTTCCGGGTAAGCCGAGAAGAGCTTTGCCGCTGTCGCGAAATCCCCGGCCTTATAACTCTCTGCGATGTCATGATAGTAGGAGCGATGGGCTGACATGTCTTTAACGGTTTTCACGGAAAGTGTTCCATTCGTCATCTTCCACCAGCTGCTGGTGAATTCCACCCAGGGGATGTTCAGTTCCGTGTTTGATGGGCTCCAGTACGCCGTCGTGACCCCGTTCTGCAATAGGATGTCCGTGAAGTTGACTTCACGGCCCAGCACGATGCGTTTCTCAGGCTCCGAAGTGTTGGCATGGAAGACCGTGACGAAGGGATTGATCGTCCTATTCCACGACCTGAGCCCACCAATGCCGAACGCTGCCGCCCCGCCGTCCCCATTTGACAAGAGCGCCACAGGCCCTTTCACATCAGCTGCTGAGAACCCCACCTGGCCAGGGGACTGGTGCCGTTGCAGGTTGTCAAACTGCTCGATGATGAACTTGGGGGCCTCGAAGACCTCTAGGTTCGTGCTGTAGATGTGGACGAGGAGGAAGACGGCCACCGCCATCATCCATAGCGCTAGTCGCCATTGCAGCATTTCAGTCAGCTAGGCAGGGCGTCGTTCAGACTCTGGTGGCCAGGGGTGGTGGGTGGTATTTCAGTCAAGGAGGGGGGTAGAGGGTGAAGTAGGTGGAGGGGGAACCTTTGATGGGGGTGGTACTTATTCTTTTTAGTTTATTAGGACTGGGGTAATCACAGCAATTAGAGGGAAATGTTGACTAAAAACCGCACTTAAGTTGAGTCAAAAATTGGACACTTGTTGGTTGAATTAGCCAGAAGTGAGCGAAATTAAGCTAATTTTGAACAAAATCAAGTAAAATTAAGCAGTATTGTCTTAAATTAACCAGATTTTACTTAATTAGCTAATGTTTTGTTATTTTTCAATCCTACTGGTCGCCCGGGCTTCAAAACGGTCACTTACTGCTACCCCACCCAACCCAGCATTATCTACCCCCACCCCCAACTCTCATATGAAAAAGAGGGGTAACAGAGTATTCCGATTGGTTGCTACCCCCTCCGACCCAGTCCTTCTTTACCGTCCCATCGGTAACCCCTACTCCGATCTCTACCCCCTACCCTCTAGGGATTTTCAAGTCAATCCCTTCACCCCCCTCTTGCTCTCCAAATGTCACTAAACTTGATCCGAGGGGTTATCACCTCCACCCCCCATATGAACAGCCGGACCCCACCCCCCACCCCACGGGAGCATCACCCAACGAGTTTGACCCGTTCGCGCCTCTCGCCATGGCGTCGCTCTTCGACTGCTGCTCGCCATCCAAGAAGGTCGTCGCCGTAGCCAAGAAGGACGTCGACGCTATCAATGCCCCCATGTAGCCTCCCTCCTCCCTCTCCCTCCTCCCGGTCCCCTCCTCCAACACCTTCCCTCCTCCCTCTGCCCCCTTGCCCCCTCCCCCTCCCACGACCCAGCTCCTTGGTCCCTCCCGTGCGTCCTCTAGTTATCTTCTAACCTCCTGCCACATGAAACTATCCTGTATAAGGCATGATCGTTGTCTCGCTGATGCATCCTTGCCTTTTTACCTCTTGATTATGTTCCATTTGACTGATTCTGCCCTCTTCACAAACTGCTTTGATGTCTCGTATCTGTCCGTGCTCTCCTTGTTTCGTCTTTTGATGCTGACCGGACTAGAAACAGCCACCAGCAACCTCCTGGTATTCGTCCCTCACCATACAACCAAAACTCTCAGTACAACACTCCTGTCAAACTGGTGATTTCCATCTCAGTGATGTTTAGTCAAGACGCCTGATCATTGCATAGCAGAGCTCGTCAAGCAGCGGCGGCTCAGAAAGCTACAACTCTGCTGGTCCTGCACAATGCCTATCTCGTGCCATGGTGTGAGAGTGAGAGTTGTTACAGCTGGAATTGGCGTGTCGTGGTTCAATGATGTTTCTACTGGATGTTTCCGTGTAGCTGGTGAGATTTCTCTGTGCTGCCATCACTTTCCCCTCTTCCCCCCCCCCCCCATATCTCCTCTCCTCTCCGCTCTTTTCCTTCCTTGTCGGGAGCTTCCTTCCCGATGCTCTTCCTCCGCTCTTCTTCTCTCTTTCTGTCATTCGAATAGACTGAACAATGGCTGCAAGGATTTACCCGGAATTCCTCCGCAGCGGAGAGCGGAGTGATACAAGCTGGCGACGTGCTGCTGGAGGTCTGGCGGGGCAGGCGAGGGAACGAACTGTTTCTTATCTTGCCACAGGTCGACGGCATTCCAGCCATGCAGAAATCCTTGCGGGACGTTGCGATGATGATTCTGGGCCCTCCCGGGACAACTGTGACATTACGCCTGCTGCCGGTACCAACATGCCTTCGCGCTGAGAAGTGCACTGATCCTGAGAGCAGGCAAACGAGTCTCTTCCTCCTAACTCCAACAGCGTCATCAAGGAGATCACTCTCATCAGGCGCTCGATCAGGCAGGAGTAAAGCCCTCCTACAGTGCTGATGGAGTGGACGAATGAGCTGGGGACAGGAAGGGAGGAGAGGATGGGCGGGGAAGGGTGAGGAGAAGAGGATGAGGATGCAACTGTAGGGAAGGAGAGAACAGGAGGAGCACTCAGATCACTGTGAAATGTGAGATTGCTGCGACGAGGAGGAGAAGCAGCGGAATGGTCTTGTAACATGCGATATCTCAATAAGATAAATGCGAGAATCATGTCATGTTTCCAGACACCTGACGAGAGAATGGGAGTGGTGAAGGAGGGTTGTCGTCAAGCCGCAGTTGAAAGTGGTGGAATCAGGGTGGAATGCAAGGCGAGTCAAGAGGACGGAGACAGCGCGATAGAGGGGGAGTGAGTGAGGAGGGCGGGTTGGGAGGGGGGTGGGAAGAGGGAAGAGAGGAGGCATTGAGACACAAGCAGGGAGTAGTGGATGGTTTATTCTACATGGACGGCATCACTGGAGATGAGGAGAGGGAGACAAACATGGAGCATGTCGTCCGATCTCCTTGTCAAACGCCACGCACGCCTGCTCGCACTCTCAGCACCTCCCACGCCCTCGCACGAACACGCTTCACCTTCATCCTGCTCGCACTCCTTGTAACGGTCGTCATCCTCCAGGTAGCGCCGTTAGGCCCGAAGCGATCCTGCAATGCGGTTCACAGCTGAGACGAGGAGAGACGAGGAGAGAGGAGAGGAGAGGGGGAGGAAGGTTAGAGGTGGAAAGAGGAGGGCAGGACGTGGTGATAGGAACCTTGCGGCAAGCAAGCATCTCCTGCGAGATGTCGCTTGCTTCTTCTTTCTTCGCGCTCCATGTCTTCTTGCCGGAGAGGAGGAGCGGAGGGCCTTCAATGATCTCCTCCACCTGCCGCGCCACCTCCTGCGAGCTCGTCCGGGCCACCGACAGCCGCGGGCAGTCGGGCGGGTCGTCCAGCTGCGCTCCGTCCTTGATGAGCAGACTGCTGGAGAGGGAGCCTATCCTCCCCTTGCTCTGCGTCGCGAACTTGTCGGGGCTACTCCTCATCCTCTCCGGCTGGAGCCTGTCGAAGGGGCCCCGAGCTCCTCCAACCCCCCCTTCTTCCTCCTCCTCTTCCTCGTCATACAGCACAAGAACCTGTGCGGGGTCAGCTTGCAGGAAGAATGGAGGAGGAGGTTGAGTGGAGGAGGGAGCGAGAGGGAGAGGGAAGAGAGAAGGAGGAAGGAGTCCCTACGTTGCCGTTGCTCTCCTGCTGTGCCTTGACCCCGTTTGCAGCTCTGACGATGCTGAGGATCCTCCGCAGGCTCATGCCGAGAAACTCGTCCACCTCCATCCTAGCTCCCTCCTGAGCACAAGCTCATGCCAGGTATGCACACAGTTGAGGGATCAGTGAGGAGAGTATGGGGGAGGGAGAGGGGGAGGAGGAGGAGGAGGAGGAGGGGGACCTGAGATTGTGTCCCCCTGCTTGCAAAGCTCTTCCACGCTGCTTCCGCTTGCTGCAGCGCCTGTTCGAGGGCTCCGAGCTTGAGCATGCACACGGCACAGTTGACCTGACCGACGGCTATGAGCTCAGGAGAAGAGGAGGATAGTAGAGAAGGAGGCGGTGGCGGGGGGGGCGGGGGCTGAGATGGAGGAGATGCGGGAGGAGGATGGAGAAGGAGAGGTCCTACCTGAGCGATGCTGAGGACCAGCTCGGGGCTGCAGGAGAACAACGAATCGACTGTGGAGGAGGAGGAAGATGAGGAAGAGGAAGCGGAAGAGCAAGCCTTCTCTTCGTCTGCTCCTTGCTTCGGGCTCGTGAGCTCGACACTGCCAGGAGGGAGGGAGAGGAGGCATGGCCAGCTACAAGGGGAGGGGAGGGAGGAGGAGCCCTTCCTCACACCACTCAGCGTCTGCCTCGCAGCCGTGAAGAGCTTGAGTGCCATGCTGAAGTTGCCGAGCTGTGCGTGAAGATACCCGACATGCAGCTGGCAGCAAATGCGCTGAAACAGGAGGAGGAGGAGGAAAAAGAGTGAACGTGAGCAGGTGGCACAACAAGTTTCTCTTCTCTTCTACCTGTCGCCCGCTGATCCCCCCGAAGTCGATGCTGCTGTCACCCGTCCTTGCATCCTCGTCGATGAAGCTCCACAGCTTGTCGATCGCTGACTTGACCTCCTGCTCCTGCCGTCAGTCCTGCCATGAGCCCGAGCCGACGCAGAAGTTACCTGGGGCTGAGGAGAGCGCGGAGCAGGGGAGAGAGGAGGAGGAGGAAGAGGACCGGCCGGAGGTCGAACGGCTCGACGAGCAACGCAGTGAGCTAGCCAGCACTTCATGCCCTCGGAAAAGCTCCTGGGCAGGTTGAAATCTTTAGTGGGAGAGGAAGGGAGGAGAGGATGGAAGAAACGAGAGAGAAGAGGGGAAGGGAGAGGAGGAGAGGATAAGAGAGAGGTTGAGAGGAAAGGGTCAAGAAGGGAAGGAGAGGAGAGGAGAAGGAGGAGGGAAAGAGAGGAGAGGGGAGGAAGAAGGGAAAGAGAGGAGAGGAGAGGGAGAAGGAAGGAGGGAGGAGTGAAATTTCTTGCGGAACAACCTTGCATTACTGGCGATGAGATTGTCTAGGAGGGCACTCGCTAGGTCAACCTCCTCAATGAGCGCGAAGTTTTCAGCTGCCTCGCTCCAGCGATGAGCGATCTGACCATCCTGTGAGGATGAACAGAGCAGAGGATAAGCATGGATGATGGTGAGGAAGGGAGGGAGAGATGGGAGGGAGAGAGGGTGGGAGGGAGAGATGGGAAGGTGGGAGGGAGAGATGGGAGGGAGGGAGGGATGGGAGGGCTCGAAAGCAAAAAGAGGGATTTCTAACCTCTCTAATCGTCGCATCCTCGCAGTGTCGGCTCCTACCATTGGTCGAGGGTCTGGCGCTACTTCAGAGGAGGAGGAGGAGGAGGAGGAGGAGGAGGAGGAGGAGTGCGCAACAGGCACGCACCTGTGCCTCTGCCCCCGAGACGACGTCAACCTCCCCCTACTCACAGGTCGACCCCAGCTCCCTCCCAGCATCTCTCCCCCGCCTGCTTCCTGCTGAGATTCTCCACGGTGCCCCGCCTACTCGCAGGCATCAGAAGTTGCCCTCCTCCTCCCCTTAGCTCGGACCTGTGCTGGAGTGGAGCTGGACGCTCCTGCCTCCCTCTGCGCCTCGTCCTCCTCCCTGGGATCGTCTGAAGCGAAGAAGGGGAGCCACAGGCATTCGACCCTCCTCCCCTCCTCCCCCTGCCACTCAGCCTCCTCCTCCGCCGCCCTGACCGCCTTCCACTTGGGCTGCGACCAGATCCTCTCAGCTCGCAGCTGGGAGAGAGTTGAGGGCGAAGACGTACCGTCTGCTGCGCTGCCTTCCTCCTCCTCCTGAGCAGCGAGCATCGCTCCATCCCAGCTTCTCCCTGCCCGTTTTGTCACCTTGACTCTGACTTGTCCTCCTTCCTCCTCCTTCCCTCTCTCTCCCTCCCTCCTCTCCCTCCTCTCCCTCCCTCCCTCCTCCCCCTCCATTTTCAGACCTGCTGCATGGAGTAGTCATGAGCAGCCAGTCGCATCCTCATGACCGCCTGCAGGCGAGTCGCGCAGGTGCAAAGGAGGAGCAAGGAGGATCGAAGAGAGAAACGACGGAGATGACGAGAAATCTCCTGCACGACACACGCACAGTCATTTGTCAAAAGAGGAGAAGATGGTGGCAGTAGCAGATTTGGGAGGAGAGGCACGGAGGAGGAGAAGAATGAGGAGGATGAGGAGAGTGAGGAGGAGGGGGAGAGTGATAGGGAGGGAGGGAGGGAGGGAGGGAGGGAGGGAGGGAGGGAGGGAGGGAGAGAGAGAGAACGGGAGAGAGAGAGAGGAGAAAGAGGAGAAAGAGGAGAAAGAGGAGGAGAGGTGGTGGTGGTGGTGTTACCTCAGCAGCCAGTCGCGTACGGAGCAGTCTCCTTCGCTCCGACGCTGCGAGCAAGACCCGCTGCAGTTGACGTTTCGCCTCCTCTCTTTCTTGCAGCAGCGGGATGAAGCTCCTTCTAGCCTCGGTCCTCCTCACCACCCCAGCAAGCACCTGCAAGGAAGGAGTCAGCTCCTGCCTGCTCTCTTCCCCTAATCCTCATTCTCTCCCTTTTTTCTCCCCTCCTCCCTGTCTCGCCCCATTCCCCCACCCTCCCTCCCCTCCCTCTTCTCCTCCCTTACCATTCTCGCCCGCTCCCTCCTGCGTTTCTCCTCGTCCACTAGCAGCCTCTTCATCCCCGGCCCGATGATCTCCCTGCACGCCCGCAGCTTCAGCAGGAAGCAGGAGAAGCTTGACAGCTTTGCTCGTCGCAGTAGGTGGGCGGAGATGACGGTTGCGCACTTCGAACGGTAGAGGTAGTTCCAGGAGGAACGCGCGGTCCGCCGCCTGCTGACTGACTGCAGCACACAGATCGCAGTCCTCTCGTCCTCAAAACTTCTCCTCCCCCTCCACGCCATGATCATTCTCTGCAGCGTTTTCCTCCCCCGACAAATCCCCCTCAGTCTCTCCGCAAGGCCGCTCCTAAAGTTGGCGTCAAGGACGAGCTTGCGGCGGACCCATGCTGTGATCATGCTCGCGCTCTTCCTTCTTGACACCCACGTCTCCGACCTGTTCGTTTCATCATCCTCATACGCCAAAACCCGCTGCAGGCTCTCCTCCTCCTCCTCCTCCCCCTCTCTCACTCCCTCTTCCTCGACCACTTGCTTTCTTGCTTCAACATTGCACCCGCGCTCCCTTCTCATCTCCTCCAGGTTGAATCCTTCTTCGAAGTTTATCTCCATCGCCTCTCTTTCTTCCCTTGGCCCCAGCGCGATCCGCACATTCAGCTCCTCCTCGATGGCTTGCGCGGGACGAGGAGGGAGAGTCTTGAGGAAGCGGGAGAGGCGGTGAGAAAGTCGTCCATTGCCCGGAGAGAAGTCGGAGCTCTCAGCAGGCAGTAGGAAGGCAGGTGACTGCATGTCTGCAAGATAGCGAATCGTCGTCAACCTCTTCTTCTCCACCGAGCAGAGCAGTGGAGTGAGCATGAGCTTTGTCTTGGTCTGGAGACTCGCGCCCCCCAGCTCCACGAGGAGGCGGACGAGAGTCGTGTGCCCGTTCGACGCTGCGATGTGGAGAGGAGTGTATCCTCGAAGGTCTGTCTCGTCCACAGAACATCCCGCAAGCATCAGCCTTGCCGCTACCTGCACCCTATCATGCACAACAGCCGAGTGCAGCGGAACCATGCCCGTGGCGTCCTGAACATCAAGATCCGCACCATACTTGACGAGCAGGGAGACGATCGGGAGGTTTCCCCTCGCAGAAGCATGATGCAACGCCGTCATACCGTGCTCGTCCGACCCAGAGATGTCTGCTCCCAGGTGAATAGCCTCCTCCACCTCTGCTGCTGTTCCGCTGCGAGCAGCTTCGATGACATCAAACGTCCGGCGCCCGAACCCTCTCATGGTCTCGCTGCCCAAGGTGTTCCGATCCACTGCCGATCGAAGTATCCCCTCACCTCTCCATCGCGCAACAGGTCAACTTTGCTGGGGATGTTTGTGAGAAATTCTGTTGGTAGCTTATCTCACCTCATCAGTTCCGATCCCATGTTGCTCCCTCTCCCTCTCCCTCTCCCTCCCTCTCTCTCTCTGTGCATCTCTGCTCAACACCCAGCCTCTCTCCGTCTCTTCCTCCTCCTCCCTCCACCCTCCAGCCATGCTCCTCAGCAGCCATGGCCGTTATCCCCTTCGCCCAACCTCAAAAACTCTCAAACTTTAAACTCAGCCCAGAAGTTTATTCGCAAACGTTTCAAAGTTCGAATAAAAAGGTCGTAGAACAGGGGTCGCAATGTTGAGGCAAGAAACAGGAGCACCAAGGAGAGGACGGAAGACAGGAGGGGGGTAGAAGCTGCATGCTCGAGGCTTTGAAGTAGTGGATGATGGAGTAAGGCGTCAGGTTGGGTCCCTTGCAGACTCGCTGATCCATCTGATGCTGTTTTAAACCTAGTCACAAGGTAAAGGGAGTTGAGAACTTGTAGTGATTTCGTGTTCTTCCCTCCTTTCTTGGAGAATAGGATGACAACTACATGTCGAAGCATGATATCTTCATCTCATAGGAAATGCACCGCTTTTCTGCATACACTCGTAGACTGAATCACCCAAGGATGATCCTTTTGCTAGGTGATTTGATCCTGTTAGTAACTTGTTCTTCGCTTTACCCAGTCGTGACAATGGCCGAACCCCATCATCAACCTCGAGACCATATGGTCTTCGATGACAAAGTCGCGGAGGAGTATGTGAAACAGGTTCTCATTATTGGATTTTCTCCTGCTATACTAATCTCTCTACAGCAAATTGTACTTGAAAACGCTCAACAAGTTCTTGAATGTGCCAAGCCTTACATCAAACCTGGCTGCGAGATCCTCGGTGAGGCCCGAAACACATCCTAAACACATCCTAAACACATCCTCGAGTGCTGGACCCTGACCTTGTTTGCACGCCATCAGATTTCGGATGCGGCCCTGGGTTTGCGTCCCGCATGCTTGCAGCTCTGCCGGAGGTGAAGAGTGTGCTCGGGGCAGACGTCTCGGAAGGCATGCTGGGCCAGTTCAACAAGCTTGCGGGTACCGCTGCGTTTATGTTTGCGATGACATCCGCCATGACTTGCAACACAGCCGAAGAGAATGAACAAGTGAGGTCGAAGCTGTCCTCCTTGAAAACGTCTGCCAACCCCGTAGAGGAGCTGAAACCGCACGTGGGATCGAAGGATCTGGTTGTGATGGCTTTTGTGGTTGGCCACTTGCATCCAAGAGAGGCAGGCTATGAGGTGCTGAGATTGTCTGCCCTGGTCCAATCCTTTGAAACCCTCAGCAGGTCGTCAAGCTGGCAGCTGCCTGCTTGAAACCTGGTGGTCGCTTCCTCCTCGCCGAACTCAATGGCGGCGCTCCATTTCATGCTGCCGGAGGAGGGCACGGGCATGGCCATGAGCACGGGCATGGCCATGAGCACGGGCATGGCCATGAGCACGGGCATGGCCATGAGCACGGGCATGGCCATGAGCACGGGCAGGGGTATGTGATTGTTCAGGTGTGCCAACAGGATGAAGCTGACGATGTGAACAGACAAGAGACAAGCAGCTGTCATGAGCACGGTCACGGTCACGGTCACGGTCACGGTCACGGTCACGGTCATGAGCATGCCCATGACGAGCACGAGGTTTACTATGAAGATCAGTTGCATGATTTGCTGGCAAAGGCAGGTGACGTGGCATCGCCTCTCTTCTCTCCTCTACCGTTGTTGTGCCTGATTGCTGTGGCAGGCATGAGCGGCATCAAGACAGAGAAGGGCTACAAATTCACCAAGAACAATGTGACAGTTAACTGTGCCGTGATCAGCGGCGTGCGCGAGGTCAACAGTGAACTGTTGTTCACAGAACGACACTGACTGGTGTATGTGCAGTGAAGCGTAACGACCATCAAAGGTGATCATTTTTGAAGGACATCGAATCGTCTCCAGCACCATGCAGTGCCGTTTGCTGGCCGTGACTTGAAACGAGAACTTGAACATTGAAATTCTTGTTTGTAATGAATGGCAACATGAATCCGAATGTGTATCGTGACGAGTCTGCGGCGACTGCCAGGCTGTGTGAAAGCTCTCGGCGATTTTTGGTACCATATCAGGTTATAAAGTAGAAATTTCTAGATACTCTCAGAGGTATATAACTGTACTGATCAGATGCACGGGTGCGGTCATCAATCTACATGTCTAAAGTTGCAAGGTGCTTTCCTGCTGCTCAATCTCGGTTCTTCTCTGTTTCTCATTCCCATAATCTTGACAGAGCTCTTCGTATCGCTGCCTCTTGTGCCCACAAAGCCGCTCCTCCTCCTCTTCCTTTTGCTTTTCAAAGTACAATCCCAAAGTGTTGGTGCCAACAATCTCCGAAGCTCCTTTAGTGAACAGCCTCGTGATGTATTTCTTTGCCCTGTAGCAGACGGGAGGGAGGGAGGGCTGTGTGCTCGTATCACTCAAGCACTCGTGCAGGTACTCCAGAGCTGCGGCCTCATCCCTACCATGTCGCTCGTTGTACTTGATCATTTCATCAAGGAAGGCGTCTTTCAAGAACCTTCCCACGGGAACGAGTTCGACCAAGGTCATGCTGTCGTCGCACTTGTTGATTTCTTGCAGGGCCTTGCGGATGTGTGCTCTACTCATTCTCACGCTTGCTGAGTCGGCGCCGTCAAATCCCACGCACACCACATACTTCTCGTGCTTGACAGGGCAGGAGAGCGTCGGCTTCACTATGCAGACCTTTCGGAAGCATCGCGCGAGGATGTATACTCCCCCTACCGTCCCTCGTCCCAAACTGTCAGCAATCCTGCATATGAACGAGCCTCCCTGCTCTAGCGCCCCCATCCCAGCCCACATCTGCACCAAGAAGGACGGAAGGCTGGAGGTCTCGTTGGTACCACAAGGGGAGCAGCGGTTGACCGCATCTCCGATGACAATGTTAACTCTGCTAGTGGCAAGCATCGCTATCAACGGCTCAAGGTCTTCAGCCACGTCAGCTCTTGCCGCTGTCATGCTGTCTTGAGGATACGTGCGCAACAATGAGGAGGACGGCAAGGACTGCTGGAGGCTCGGGAGGTCTGGGCTTGCCTTGTCGTTACGGTTCAAGATCCACCCGCACTTGACTCGCTGCCCCAACGACTGTAGCAGGAAGTCAGAGCAGCCGCCTCTTCCTCCATGGAGATCGAGGAACGAGACTCTGTCACGATTTTGTGTTCCTGTCATTGGCATAGCTCCATCTTTCATGAGAGATTGGCTGCAAATGTCAAACACATCTGCAAGCTTCACTCCGGCTCTGCTAACAAAAGGTGTGCACAAAGATGAGTAACATGGGAAGAACTTCTTGATGGTTGTCGAACTCTTCATATTTGTTATTCCCCGATTTTCCAGGACTTCTTCCAATACATTGTCAGGGCAGAAATTCGAATACTTGTATTCTTTCAGCATTTGGCCCTTCACAAGCCACTCGTGTTGCGGCTGAAAGGAAATACTGCTGTCCAGCAGGAGTTCTGATCTTTCAATCCAGCGGAGATCCGCAGCTTTCACTCCTCGCCAAGCTCTCTTATCAACGTTCTCATACTCGCAAGTCAAACCCAATCGATCTCCTTGTAGTCTTGTCGTACATTGGACAGGTACAGTCATACCCTGACCTCGCTTGCCGAGACCATCTCCCTTGCGGTAGCCGTATTTCTCCAGCTGCTTCCTCGCAAACTCAGATATGACCAGTTTTTCAGGTTGCGTCTCAGGTTGCGTCTTGGTTCGACCACATTCCTCGTCAGCTGTCTTATTCCGACTGGAACCATTGACGTTCATTCTGGGCACGCGCAGATGAATGACGTTAGGGATTTGAATTCTGCATACACCAAACACTAAGAAGAAGACGTGATAGAGTATCACTTGCAGCCAAGAGAAGGTGTCGAGCAATTGTTGGCTGGTACAAACTTGCAATAAAGATTCATCCTTAGCCAGTAAGGGATCGATGTCTCTGATGATCATGTCGACCTAAACAAAGCGTGAGCTATCAATCAATGCAGCCACAGCATCATCTGCTTACCATGCTTGGGTGTTCTTCTAGCATGCTTTCCGTCAGTTCCTGCGTGACTTCTTGTAGGTAACGCCATAGTTCTTGTGTGGTAGGTTGATCCAAGGATTTGATAGGCAACTTGCCTGTAAGGATCAGATGTGCGAGTGCGTATCGCTCTTTGAGCTCGGAGGGATCATCTAAGCTCCAGACATGCGTGATGGAAGGGAGAGAGGTTTTGTCGATGAGGTCAAGGAACGCAGAGCTTTCCTGCTTGATCTCTCGCATGCTGATCTTTTTCTTGCCCGTGTACCTCTCTTCAACAATGAAGAAGTCATCGTCCGTTTCTCGGAAGATCCACGAGTAAACTCTCTGGCGGAGGGCGAAGGTCAAACCTAAGAAACTTTCGTCCTCCTTCCCCTCCATCGGCTGAAAGCTGTTTGGTGGCCACCAGAAGTGACGGGCGCAGACCAGACTGAATAACCGATTCTCAAAACGATAGTGCAGAAATGCTTTCAAGAAGTTTTCGATCGCATCTTTGCTCTTGCAGTCACCGTCGTTTGAAGATCTTTCTCCGAACACCTTGGCTAGTGGCTCATTGTATGATTGTTTCAGGTTATCAAACAGCAGCAAGCCCACATTTCCCTTGAACTCCTTTGCAAGAAAGTAAGGCGTGTTCGGCGAGTTCTTGTCATCATGGGCCAAAAGTCCTCGAGCTGAACGAGCCAAAGCGACTTCATTCACGAGCATGCTCAGTTGTGCGAACGCGAGCTCCAGCTGGTCGAAACGAGGATTCGGATGGTGATCATCTACTGCATGACGACGAATGATGCTATGGAAGAACTGACTGTGAGACCTGGGACTTTCCTTCTCCTCTGAGAAGCACGCATGCATGTGTAGCATGTCTCCTGCACCCTGCCAGATCCTGACTTGTCGGATAACTTCCTCTCGCAGTGCTTGCAGCCGCCTGTCATATCTACTCTTCACTGACTCCCACGGTACCGTAGGAGTAAAAGCATTTTGAATGAGATCTAAGTCGTCCCTTGCCGCGTCGTCGCAAGCCTCGTGCCTCCTCTTGCGATGTTTGAGCATGAAGTAGTCGTTGCCTTTGCGGTTTCCGAGGGCAAACAGATGATGAACACTTTGAACATTAAACGTTGACTGGATTGCGCTGGGCAAAACGACGAAGCAGTTCCCTCGCGATCAAAGTCGATCATAACTGTCACATCCATGAATAAGAAATCTTTATCTCGTGACCAGATCACAACAGCTTTGTGTCTCTGTGCATAGAGCAATGCCACGGTATCAGCATTCTGAAGCTCCTTGGAGCCTGAATGATACAAGTCTATGCGAGCCGCATCTTGGTTTTCCAGAGCTTGAATCGCTCCTACCATCACTCGTTTCTTCATCATCACATCAGTCTCCGTCCCTCCTCCATCAAAACAAGCCTTCAGATTCTCTCTCATATGAGCAGCTCTTTCAGTCACGTCGACATCTTGATACAGCTCCTTCATGTACTTGAGCTTGCTGAAGTTGCTCTCCTGTTGCACTCCTCCGTCGTCAGGCACGCCGTCAAAGATAAAGACGATCCTGGATCGCGGATCGTTGCCGCTTCCTACCTGAAGCTCGGTCCAGAGCTTTTGAAAGAGACGTAGATAGGCCTTGTAGGATTTGATATGATCCAGCTGAGAGTGAAGTGACTTGAGATTGGACCCGTCGACAACAATCAGAGGAGCACAAGCTTCTCTTGCAATCCTTTCGTTTATCAGGTGTGACAGTCGATACTTTTCAGCTGGAACTTTCTTGTGTAAAGCCCAGATGGTGTGAGATCTGGTGGGGCGGATCCGGTTGATGACAGAAGTGCAAACTGAAGGCAGTATCTTACCTTTGAGCAATCGCTCCTCGAGATCGATCGAGCTGATTCGAAACCGTCGCATCCACTCGTGTGCGATCAGCTTTCTAGCTAGCTGAATGCCATGAGCTTCCGAGCTTGGGAAAACCTTGAACAAGCGCAAAGTCCTGCTGAGCTCTGCGATTCTGAGCTCTGCGAAGTATCGCGCGCCCAACAAAAAATATTCCATCCACAGGTTGTCCACGCGACCTTGATCTATCAGGCTCAGCTCGCATCCATCTGGGCTCTGAGGCCAGCTCACCCCAGTATATGGCAGAAGGGCCTGCAGGTAGTCCTCGGCAATGCCCTCGAAGTGCTCGCAGACCAGAAACGTCTCGCTGCTCGTGGACGCGCTCGTGGTCGGTTTGCATACAGAAGTGCGTGCGAAGACACATGAGACAAGATAGACCAGACAAAGACTCGCATGGTCACACAGACTCGCCATCCTCATCACCAGGTTTCCTCCCTTGCTCAAAGCTCCCATCGCTGTCACGACTTGACAAAATTGCAGTTGCGCATCCATGGCGCAAGCCTGACCTGATGCTGCTCCACCCATGCACCCATCAGCCGTCACCAGCATAACAGGACCCTTGCTCTTCATCTTCTCCCATGCTCCCTCTATGTTGGGACGCAGCCGCATGTCACCGGTATTATCAGCTCCAAAGTACCAGTGCACTACGGTCTCGGTGATCAAAGCGTCATCTCCGGTCTGCGTAAAGAGTTCAAGGAAGCACACGGCATGAGAACTAAAGTCACCAGATGTCGCTGGTCGTTTCCTTCGAAGTGAGGGTTTAAGGTACAAGCAACCCAGTCCCATTCAATGTTTTCTTCAGATTGTTTCCTTAAACCCATAAAGTAATGATTTGTTGCAGAGACAAACGCGCCTCGAGCTTCACATAGATGTAACGAAATGAATTTCTTCGTGCATTGTAAATTGATAAGTTGGAATGCTGAAAGTATCTCATACATCTTCGCAAAATCAACGGAGCACAGCTCAGGCGCTATTCTGTCTCGAATCGCGGGTTCTACCGCGGCGGTCAGAATTGTTCGGGCAGTGAGAGCGTCCCATTCCTAAGGCAGGTCAGCTACAGCACGTGCTCTCTCTACAGCCTACCTGCTTGTCTACGCCTTCCACTTGCCGCCTGCTCAGTCGTCAGCAAGGGCTTCAACTTGTTAAAGAGATACTTCTTCTGTTCAAGTTTTCGTAGGACAGGCTGAATATTGTCGATACCGAAGGAGGAGGATGCGAAAAGAGTAGCAGCAGGAGGCAGGGATATTCCCATCCTCTTGACTTCGAAGCACTTGTCGATGAAAGGTGCCTCATCGTCTTTCTTCTCTCGCCGCTGATCCATCGACTTCTGGATTAGACCTCCCAACTCGAACATTTTTTCAGCTTCGTCTCTGCTCATCATCAGAAGTTCAGGAGGAGGAATCTGAGCCTTGGTATCATCGCACTTGGATGGACAGTGACCTCTAGTGCAGTACAGAACTTCATCTGACGGTGATTCCTTGTGAGCTGTTTTCGTTGTATTCGTCGAAACATTCAAGTCATGTCTGTATAGTTGCAAGCAATCATTGAAGGTGAAATAATGCCCATCTGGAGAGTTTGTTGAGCAATCTTGGATCATTTCATTCTGTTTCAAATGATCTGGTTCTGTCCTACGTTTGTAAAGCTTGAGGAACAATATGAGCTCGCACGCCGACATTTCTTTCAGTGCGGCACTCGTCTCCGTTTGCATCGATCCGACTTTGTTTTGAACCCTCCCCATCCATTTTGACTGAGTGTGGATTGAAAACGGAAATTGGTTGCCATCTTCAGTGTACAAGAAATCAATGCCAGGAGTATAAGGTGATAAATGCGCTTTCTTCACGTATGCCTTGCAAAATAGACAAACTTTGCAGGAAGTTTGGACCTTCTAAAATCTCTTCATCCAGCTCGCATTCCAGCAATCTGCGCCTCTGCCGTTGAGAAATGACCAGGCTCAAATCTCTTTCTACGAGTGCCTCCACCCCTTCCCTATAATGTATTCCCACTGCAATATGCAGCGCTGTCTTGCCTTGCCCGTCCTTCAAGTCTACTCGGACCTACAGCACAAGTATCTCCGGTCAGCTCCTCTCACCTCCTACTCCTCCTGGACTTACCTTGTCGCTCTCCAGCAGAGCCCTCACGCACGCCGTTTGCCGGTGATAGACGGCGAGATGCAGCGGCGTATCGCCTGACTCTGTTTGAACGTTGGGGCTGGCACCTAGGGCGAGCAGCCTCCTGCAGCATTGCTCCTTGCCTTTCTCGCAAGCTCGATGAAGAAGAGACCTTTCCTTGTATCGGGGCAAGAGCTCGTCGATCCTCGCGACGTTAAGGAGCCGCTGGAGCTCGTCCGCGTCGTCCCTCATGAGGACCTCATTCTCCGATATCATTGTAATAGCTGTCTGTGCGTTCTTCTGTCGTGCGTAGTCCAGCACAAGTCTCCCCTGCCCGTCCTGGATGTCCAGACATGCACCTCCCTCCATGAGTGCCTCCACCCCCTCCCAATAGTCTCCTCCCGCTGCAATGTGCAGCGCTGTCTTGCCTTGCCCGTCCTTCAAGTCTACTCGGACCTACAGCACAAGTATCTCCGGTCAGCTCCTCTCACCTCTTACTCCTCCTGGACTTACCTTGTCGCTCTCCAGCAGAGCCCTCACGCACGCCGTTTGCCGGTGATAGACGGCGAGATGCAGCGGTGTTTCTCGCGAACTTGATATTGCCTGTACGTTGGGGCTGGCGCCCAGGGCGAGCAGCCTCCTGCAGCATTGCTCCTTGCCTTTCTCGCAAGCTCGATGAAGAAGAGACCTTTCCTTGTATCGGGGCAAGAGCTCGTCGATCCTCGCGACGTTAAGGAGCCGCTGGAGCTCGTCCGCGTCGTCCCTCATGAGGACCTCGTCCTGCATGATGTGCTCAGTGAGGACAAGGCGAACCGCAAGTATTGGCGTGTGTAGTCAGGTACGCGCTCCTTGCGGGAATCCCTTGGCTGCCTTCCTCGGTGAGCTCGGAACTGAGAACAACAGACGGGATTGAAACGGTTTTCAACGTACGGTACCCTTTAAGGTACCCCCTGATTCCCCTGCTGATACCCCCAATACACTACCCTCACCCGAGTGACCAGCTGAATGACCAGGCACTGAAGTTGATGAACAGGGCATGGGAAGGGGACGGAAAGACCCCGCGACTGTCCTCGCTCTCAGACCTGCCCACTCCTCTGCCTAAGAAGAAACTGAAAGCCTAACTAACTTCCGTGACTAAGATCATAAGAAATGAGAAGGGCATACACTTCTCAACTCCAACTTCGACAGGAAGCGTTAGTTTTCTTACTCGCCCGGATCAGATACCTTGAAGGCTCAGCTTCTCACCGTCACGCTATACCCCCCTTCAAGAAGGTTTTCTCCTCAGTCCGATCGAGGACGCCTCCGAGTCCGATCGTCAACTACCACCGTTGGGTTTGGCACAGGGCTGCGGTCCGGGCACCGGGGCCCGGCAGTGACGGTACGGTCGGTCCGGGTGGTTCCCGGCGGCGCCGGAGCCTTCAGCCTGTGAGCGGCCCGGGCCCGGGTAACTAAGCCGTGAGGAGGCGGGCTTGTAAAGTGAAGTCAGTTTGATGGACGACTGCGGCCCTATGGTGAAGCTGGTAAGTGAGCATGAGCAGGAGAGCAGGGCAGCAGCGAGGGAGGGGAGAGAAGGAGGTAAAGGGCAGGAACGATAGCAGAGGACATTGAAACATGCGGTAGAGGGAGTGCGAGAGGGGGGGGGGGAGCAGGTAGGAAAGCATTTCAATGAAGACCAGCGGGAAAGGATGAAGCTGTTCCATCTCAGTATTGCTGATTGTTGCGATGAGATCGCAGGAGGATGATCGAGGAGATGTAGAGAGAAGAGCTAGAGTGACATGCGTCTCTGTTGTCAGTCAAGACACTGACGTCCTTGCCTCAAGATGGTAACGTACCACCGGAGAAAGCAGCGATAGGCATCCTACCTCACCGCCAGCTCTGTCTACGACGCCATGGAGGGTAACGTATTGCCCGAGACGTCGGAGAGCGGGAGTCTAGGAGGATACATCTACAACGACGACGAGGACGACGATGCGGATGACGAGCTTGACAACGAGCATTCCGACTTCGAGTCATGCGAAGAGCTCGAGGGCGCGAACCAGCGCGCGGCTCGAGAGATCAGCGACTTGAGCATCAGCGGCATCTCAGCCGTCCAGCATGACGAGACTTTACCGCACGAAGACGCTTCGGACGACTACGTGAGGAGCTGCGTGTTGAGCTGAGGCCGAGCTGAGCCTGAACTGTCAGGTCGAGATCGTGAAGAACTTGAGCGATAGCGAGCAATCGTCGGATGATGACGTGTCAGAGCCGTTGAAGTTGAGAAAGTGAGATGACATGTTGCCCGTCAGCCCTCTGCCTTACACACCATTGCAGGTTTGACTACACTTTGGTACTGGAATGTATGTGCGCGGGAAGCAAGAGGAAGCAAATCAACGTTTGGCTGCCAGAGACTCTTGTCTTTGTTAACAACGTCCCGCTGTGTTGGTACTTCACGCGGAAGCAAGTGATCATGGCGACGTGGTTGTGCTTGCTCGGCTCATGTAATGCAGGACTGTACCATCTCGAAACGAAACTTCGGGCACAAGAAGTCAATGACAAACCAGCAGGTCAGAAAGTTTGATCTCTCCTGACCTTGACTGGCTCTTCTGAGCATGACTGTAGATCCTCGCCAAGTTCGGAGGGTTGACCGGAGAGATCACCTCGTACTTCGTGCATGTCACTGACGTCGACGAGGAGCACATGAGCTGGAAGATCGAATACTTCGATAGGAAAAGCCTCCGAGATTTTCTCTACGATGAAAACGCAACTCGCAACGGTTTCTTGCAGAAATTCGTGTGCATCCGCAAGCATGTAAGTCTTTCTCTTCCTTGTCTTGGCGTTCATCTCCGACCTCGATGACATGCTCGTGCAGCGATTCGCAGCTTCTCTAGACACGAATCAGCTGCTGCAAACCTTTGACGTGAGATGGAAGAAGGTGAGGCAAGCTTGCTTGACAGGCGACCGAACTCGCTGATGCCTCTCCCTCCGCAGGACGATCTGAGGAGCACGAGGGTGCAGACCCGCTCCTACGTCTTCCGCATCCCTGACGACGGGACGAGCTCCTACAGGTACGGCATGGCAGAGCCGCACGACCATCGTTCCTCCCACCTGTCGATGAACTCGACCATCACCAAGAAGGCTCAGAGCGTCTGTCGCTGCATCGCTGAGTCGATGAAGCTCCCCGTGGACGGATACTCCCGCACCCTCCAACGGATTCACTGCAAGTTCAGGATGGGAAAGGAGGGCGTCCTGTGGTTCCAGTTCTGCACCTGGATGAGGGCGGACAAGTACGGCCCCCTCCAACGGAGGCTGTCGAGCCTGCGCATGTCCGACCTGCTCTTCTCCAGCAGCAGGAATTTGCTTCAGGGGGAGCCCGCGCCCGACTCCTCGCTTGCTCAGCAGAGCAAGGGCCCTGTGCAGGAGCACGAGCACGTGAGGAGTGTGGAGGCGGAGCAGGTCAACAAGGTCAGCCTGCCGACCAAGAGCCAGGACATGAGGACCTGTTCTCTGTGCTCGGCTCGAATCCTCGCGCAGACGTCATGCTCCGTCACCTACGGCGAAGTCCTTCCCTTCCTGATGCACCTCAACGTCAGTCTCCGCTCTCAGCTCTCCCCAGCTGATGCCCACCAGGGGGAGGCAGCAGCAGAGGCGGCGGTCGAGAATCTGCCGCAGGAGCTCTGGAGGGAGATGCAGCTCAAGGAGGAAGAGGAGGTCGGCCTGCAGGACCTCAGCTGCCGGCTGCAGTTGATCGGGCTGTCACCGTCGTGGATCGAGAGGATCATAGTGGAGATGGCGTCGAGCGACGAGGAGATCAGCGGGTTCGTCGACCTCAGGCTGTTCAGGATGGCGATAGAGGCCTCGCAGGGTCAGCGGGGGAGAGGCTGGACGGATGGAGGGGAGGAGAGGAGGGAGTGGGAGCACGGAGACTCTATCTTCTCCGACCAGCCGCTGATCTACCAGTACATGTCCCCAACTTTGCACAAGAGGAAAGTTCCGTCAGTGTTCAACGAGCTTGCTCTTCACATCCCTGAGTTGGACTTCCATCTCTTGTTCGAGGAGAGGCATGGCGGGTTGTCATGGGCAGGCGTCCTTCACAAGGACGTGGTATGTTGCCTGCATTGCAAACGAGTATGCAAGCTCTTCGTCGAGGCGAAACTTCGAGGGCTCGAGTACTCGGAGCCTCAACTCGACAAGCTCAAGAAGCTGGTGCACCCCAACAGCCCGACGCTCCTCGCCATCATGTGGAACTTGCGGGGCAAGAAGACAAGCACACAGATCCCCGTCGACCGGGAGTGGAGTTTGGACCGGGCCAAGGAGTCGAGGAAGGTCGAGCAGCAGCGGGGAGGTCAGCATGCAGGTAGTTTACAGGTGGGGAGCAAGAAACAGTGGCAGAGCAAGTCGAAGCAGAGCCTGCAGTGGCTGCGCGAGATCTCTAACGAAGAGCTGCTGCAGGAGCTTGCCAGGCGCGCGGCTCCTCCTTCGATCCAAGAAAAGAATACCCAGTGGAGATGACTAGCCTACTGGAAGTCAACCTCCACTTTGACAACTTTCATCTCCTGCGATCAGTTGCAGTCAGCTCTTGACAAGCTCGTCAAGTTGCCCACCTGGTCAGGATGTCCTCGCAGACCAGAGATGTACTGGAGATGTTTGACGGGCTGACGAAGTTGATAGTCAAGTCATAATGTTCTCCTCCTCCCTCCCAAGTCTCCTCCCTCCCTCCCTCCCTCCCTCCCTCCCTCCCTCCCTCCCTCCCTCCCTCCCTCCCCCGTCCTCCCCTGCTGCTCTTCTCTCCTCCTCTCCTCCCCCTCCTCACCTTGGTCCCTCTTTCTCTTGCTGTTTGTGTCACGCCAGACTTGGGCAAATAAACCTGCAGGAATTCAATGTGAGGGGAACGAAGCAAGAGCAGTAGGACACATGAACACAAGAGTGAGAGTGAGAGTGAGAGAGAGGGAGAGGTGGTGGTGGAGAGGAGGAAGAGGAAGAGGAGGAGGAAGAGGAGGAGAAGGAAGGGACCTGAGTCTCGTTTTCGCGTCTAAAGTGAGACATGTTCGTCTGAGTGGAGCAGGTCTTCTTGGTGTGCAGGTTTGCAAGCTGCAATGCCTTGCGGCGGAGGGACCACTCGTTCCAGTCGTACCTGACAAGGAGTAGGAAAATCACGAGAGAGCAATGCAGAGAGAGCAGGAGGGAGAGAGGGAGAGAGTCGAAGAGTGAAGGATGGAGAGTGAGGGAGTTAGTGAGTGAGTGAGTGAGAGGGAGATAGGGACGGAGGGAGAGGTAGAGGGGGGGAGGGAGGGAGGGAGGGAGGGAGGGAGGGAGGGAGGGGAGGGAGGGAGGGAGGGAGGGAGGGGGTAC